CGCCATGTCCTGACCACCCCATATTTCACCTTCAATGGCCAGTTCTATGAACAAACCGATGGCGTGGCGATGGGCTCGCCACTCTCTCCGGTCATCTCTAACCTCTATATGGAGGACTTCGAGGAGAGGGCATTTGACTTGGCCCCACACAAGCCCCGCTGCTGGTTTTGCTACGTGGACGACACCTTCGTCATCTGGCCACACGGTCCCGGCAAGCTCAAGGACTACCTGAACCACCTAAATAGTATCAACCAGTGCATCCAGTTCTCAATGGAGACTGAAACTGAAGGCCACCTCCCCTTCCTGGATATAGATATTTACAGGAGACCCGACGGTTCCCTGGGCCACAGAGTGTACCGCAAATCCACCCATACTAACCTGTACCTTAACGCTGCGTCCCACAACCACCCTTCCAACAAGCAAGCTGCACTTTCCACATTGGTGCACAGGGCTAGAGCTCTTTGTGATCAAGACAACCTACATGCGGATTTGGTACTCCTGGGGGATGTTTTCAGGAAGAACGGATACAACAACCGGCAGATCCACAGAGTTCTCAACCTTCGGCCCAGCATCAGCCTGCCTGAAGATTAACCGGGCTCAGTCGCCTTCCTTCCCTATGACGGGACTATATTCAAACCGTATCAACAGAGTGCTGTCCCGGCACAACATCAAAGCAGTGGGTCTGCCTCCGAACAAATTATCCAGTTTCCTCCTGCCGGTCAGAGGTAGCCTGGGACTAAGGACACCGGGTGCATACAGTATCCCATGCGAGTGCGACAAGGTCCATATTGGGCAAACGGGCCGTTCCGTGGACATGAGGTTGAAGGAGCATCAGCGGCACATCCGTCTCGACAATCCGGACAAGTCGGCCGTAGCTGAACACAGCATTGATCTGGGACACCGCAGTCAGCTTCAGAATACCTCCATCCTCGCCACCAAGACCTGTTATATGGATCGCATTAGGGAAGCCATTGAGATTGAACTCCACCCCGACAATATGAACAGAGAGGTGTGGTTTTGTCTCAGCAAGTCATGGAAGCCTGCCAACTGTTCCCTAGAAAACCCCCGGGACATGACGCCAGATCCATAAGGCTGCATAGGCCATGACCGACTAACATAGCAATCCCCCCCCCCAGCTTAAGGGTTAGTGCCCACCCTTTAACCTTGCCTTTCTCTTCCCCCCTCCAACTCCACTGATTTCCCATATAGACTTGTCCCCCCCTCCTTCACTGCTCTCTAATATTTGTGTATATTTTCAGCACCAGTCTGCTTGTACCGGTTCTCACGGTCTCTTCACTTGCGGATTTCTTATTTTTCCTTCTACCCTGAAGATAGAGGCGATACGTTCCTCCGAAACATCGGTTAACACCACATCTACACGGTGCTTTCTTCACAGTCACCACCGTGAAAACCTCAAATCTTACATGATACTAAGAATGTTACATAGCACTTAAGAGGCTTTTGGCATCAAAAGCTGATATGTTAAATATGTTCTGACGTAAATATTTGTTGTTAACAACGTTCTACCCGTAGAATATATCATGCTTTGCAAATTGAACGTGTCTTATTTCATTTGTAGATGAAACTATCGCACTGAATTACTTGGCACTTTCATCTGTTTTCATTTTTACATTTATATATCTTGAGGTTGAAGAAATTCGTAAATGCAATGCGGCCATCTGCCTGCTTCCCACAAACAACTGTACTGGTCAAGCAGAAATTTCTGACTATCCTCCCATTAAACCCAGACACGAATATTCAGACGGCTAGACGAATCGAAGAGCTTATATTTCTATATTCACGACGGCATTTGTATTATTACATATAGAAGCTTATATTTCTTTCTTTGACGATACAGCCCCAATTTGGGCCTTGGCCTACCTCCATGAAACTCTCCATTTCACTTCGGTTTACTAGATCTTTCACAATCGGTAGGACTCCTTGGACGAATGATCAGCTCGTTGCAAGGCTTCTACTTATACACAGGACAACACAAACACAGAATAAACACATACCAAACATCCATGTCTTGTGTGGGATTCAAACCCACGATCCCGGCTTCCGAGCGAGCGAAGACAGTACATACCTTAGACCGCTCGGCTACCGTGACCTGCCGTCGAAGAACATAAGGTATAATTAATTAAAACTAAAACTTACCAAGATTACAGCAGATGCTCAAAATCCTCTGTCTTGTCAGGAGGATGGTATTATGAGACGACTGAAACCCAAGGTGGTGACTGAAGAAGAACTGGAGAAAAATTCGTGCCAGGCTTGAACATTCTAATCAAAAAATCCCTCAGAAGTTTGCGTAAGACTCTCAAGTGAAGTTGCTAGCTTCAGATTTACTTTATTTTGTAAAATAAACTTCAACGCGCGTATGTAAACCTCTTACGGAGGTTGCAGGAATTCGAGCATAACGGAGGAAAACCTTTCTATCTTCTATCGTTTTCTTCTGGGAAAGTTGTATGTATGTTTCCTGAGTAGAAGGAAGCAGTCAGATATACGTCCGCCAGAGGGTCTCGGCTTCTTGCGGGAAACTTCTGTGCACCCTAAACTATCACAGCGTAGCAATAATTTAACGAACAAATAACAAAATATTCACACAAATTGTGTACGTAATTTTATGAGTATCACATTCTTGATAGCTCAGTGTATACACCTACAGGCTAAATTCAGGCAGGCCGGGGTTCGAATCCAAGCCTAGGTATGTTTTTTTCTCCTCTGTAACATCCAAACAGGTTCTGGGGTCCACCCACCCTTCAACCCAATGTGAAGCGGGGATATTTCCCTGGGGCTAAAGCGGCTTGGGCGTGAAGCTGACTACCCACCTTCATCTAGTGCCCAAATCAAGAATGGTGGAGCTGTACCTCCACTCCACATTATGTCTCCATGGCATAGTGCTTAATTATTTAAGTACAGGGTTAACTTCACTTTTTACACATGTCTCAAAACTATGTTTATACAAAAAAATTATTGTTATAAATTTCTCTCCTGTGCACGTTACAGAAAACTAAAGAGTAATGAAATGTGAGATTTGAGGTTCTCACAGCGGTGACTATGAAAAATGCCGTCTTCTGGGGTGTGGTGCCGTGTAGATCTTGTTTGAACCGACGTTTCGGAGGATTATGTCTGCAGTCACCTGCCCACACTTGTTCCTCGCTCGCGGACTTTTCTACCCTGAAGATGGAGGCGATACATTCCTCCGAAACGTCGGTCAAACAAGATCTACTCGGCGCCACATCCCAGAAGACAGCATCCTTAATAGTGAAATGTTTTTGAGGAGCTGAAATTTATTCCAATCGAACCTCGGCTTTCAGAAAATATATGTTAAGTGTTTTCGCATCCGAAACTTTTTTCAGATACGAGATGCTGCTGTTATTCAGTCTGACGGCCGCTGCGATCTACTTGGTAGTAAAATATTATCGTGCCAATAGGCGACCCTTCGTGGAGAAAGCGGAGAAGATCCCTGGACCGCCAACCCTGCCGCTGATTGGAAATGCTCTGGAGTTCGGCACCAGCACCAAACGTACAAGCATCGCATTTCTCACGAATAACCATTTCTACTACCAAATGCAAGGATCTGTGACAGTCTTGCAATGTAACAAATAAGTACTATTACAGAACAGTAAATCTGTAGTTTAAAGTTCATGGAGGTAGGCCTAGGCCCACTGGGGCTGGAGTGCCAATGGAAAAAAAAAATCTGTAGTTTATATGTAATTCCGTAGTTTATCACCCTCTTCAAACTAACCTCCCACTGAAGACGATACTGAGGCTGTTTTATAGATTTCATATTTCCATATCCGAACTCAGGACCTTCAGATCAGTACTGGTTAATTAGTTAAGCACAGGGACAAATTTACCTTTACTTTCGTACCCTATTTCCTTGAGATCTATTTTCAGTATTCTACATATTCATCTGGGGGGCAAGCGGTAGCGTAGTTGGTTGAGGCACTAGACTACAAGCCGGATAGCCGCGGGTTCAAGTCCCGATGAGGTAATTTGATTTTTTACAATTGACCTAATCCTTCCAGCTGCACTATGGCCCTGGGGTTCACTCAGCCTCTAACAGAAATGGGTACCATGAATTAATTAAATAATTTTCTTGGGGAGTAAAGCACGGCCGGCGCTTAAAGCTGACAACCTCACCGCCATCTGTGAGCCGACTGTCTAGGTAATCTGGGAGCCTCAACGTCTCACAACCCTATGGGCCTTCACGGCCTGTTACACGGAGAGCTTACTTACTTTTTACATATGCATCTATTTAGCGCTGCGTCTTTCAGGAAATACAAAAACGACTGATGCGTTAACAAAATAATATCCGTACCAATCAAACAGTAATTGAAATAAATCATCAAAAGTAGGAAAAATTAATTCATCTCAATGTTCTAACCGCCATAATCAATAAACCAAACTGTACTGCTCTTGTTTCGTATACCAGCTTTCTAATCCGTGTTGATTTCACCGCATTAATAGACCCAATTATTTCAAGACTACAATTTATGAAGGCCTCGTTTTTTCATTTGTTCTAGTGTTTTCTTGAGGTCCGCCGTAGTGTAGGTCGTTGAGGCACTATACTACAAGCCGGAAGGTTGTAGGTTCCATTTCCGATGAGGTCCTTGGGTTTTTGAATTGACCTAATCCTTCCAGCCACACTATGGCCCTGGGGTCGACTCAGCCTCTAACAGAAATGAGTACCAGGAATCTTCCTGGAGGTAAAGAGCGGCCGGCGCTTAAGGCTCACAACCTCACCGCCATCTGTGAACCGATTATCTAGAGAAAATGTGGGAGCCTCGACGTCTCACAACCCTATGGGCTTCCACGGCCTGTTAGAGGGATACCTTTCTAGTGCTCTTTTACTCTTTACTATATTATTTTAAACAATTATAATTTATCTTTATTCCTGTGATTAAAAACTGAACTCACTCTGAAGAACACTCTGTGGCAATTTTTATTTGAAATGAATATTTAAAGAGTAAATTTTCTTTTTTTAAGTACGACGCTTCATCATTTCTGTGAGTTATGCAGTGTAGAAGGTCAGGATGAGCATGGGAAAGAACACCTAACGTCTCAGAACTTGCATTCAGTGACAGAATGAAACAGAAGTCAATCGGTACTGCCTGTTTACGAAGCGAAGCTCAATTTTACAGAAGGGTACATTAGAAATTTATTTTAAATCGAATTTGCATTAAATTTTCAAAATAAATAATTCTAGTGAAACGATTGCAGGTCCTATCTAGGTAATATACTTCTGCGTTATGCATACTGCAACTTATTACTAAAATAATCGCTATTTAGGGTTCAGAAATATCAAATAAAATTCTCTGGAACATTTAATTTACTATGTGGATCTGCCTTTACTTCCATTCAGATATTCACTTCATAAGATTTGTATGGTGTCAGAAAACAGAAATTTGAAGTAAGTCTTGTTTTAGAACAGAGAACAGTACTGCAGCAACATGGCAACCGTGAGAAATGCGCATTTTGATTTTAAGACGGACTAAGTTGGCTTATGAAGTACTAGCAGGACTCTGTATTTTTTCAGCACTCTCACCGTTCCATACCCGTTGCGACGTCTTGTTGGAAGCGCCACTTCTTTAACTGTTCTCCTCACCCTCTTCTTCTGCTTCTTGTTGATGACGCCACCTACCTTTTCTTTTCTTCTTAATTTATTTCTCAGGGTTGATAGGATTAATTTTCTCAGGGTGAGGTTGGGAGCGGTAGAGCTGAGTTCTCTGTCTCAAGGTTTCAACGGGCCACAACGTAGAAAGGCAGGTAGGACACTTTTATGCAACACCTCCACACTTGAATTTAAGAGGTATTATTATTTTACTTGATCAGTTGCGACACTTTGTAAGTACAGTTTATCAAACACTTGTTCCTGTCGAACTGCTTGCTACATTCTAAATTTAGCCCTTCCTGTTTTAATATTATTATTAAACTTGTAACCCATGTTTCGCACTTCACAACAGATTATTAGTCTTTTATCATTACAGCTTGTTGCTACAAAGTTACTTCTGATCTAGATAGCCTGGTATGTGACCTCACGTCTGGTCCTTTCGAGTCCCGATTTCCGACCGACGCTGACAACTGACGCTTCCTCGGACGTTCAATTCCTGGCTTTCACTAGCGTCCCTGCTCTATCACACACTCAAATTTCCGTGATTGGTCAGTTTAAAATTTATAGGTATTCTTATTAGACATTCCTCCAATCACTTTAACTCTTACAAAGGGGTAAAGAAATTCTGTCTTAACGAACTCCTGTCAAAAAGTGACGAATGTGCAGCGTGGCTTGGGTCATAAACTCATCACTCTGCTTAAAATCATGGCATGTAGAAAATTGTCAAGTAAAGAATTCACAAAGCCTTCTTTAGCCAATCTTTACGTGACTTTCCCATAATAAATCTTCAACGGGTATCTCCCTGCTTTTGGTGTAAGCGTGGGAAGACGCTAGCTCTTAAATACAAGAATTGACCTAAGTCTCACTACACTTGTTCCTGCCCTTACATTCAAACAATTAAATTTCAAATTAATAGCATAAATCGTATTTAAATAGGCAGCACGGCAGTGGAACGCTTACAGCATGCTCTTGCACATCTTTAATGAAAAGCCTATGTACAAGTATTTAGTTCGTCAATAATGTAACAAATACTAAAATATTCACCATTGAACACCAACACGACATGTTTCGGCCACAGACGGCCATTCTCAGGTGTGACTAGTGAAGACAGCACGACATGATGCCCGGGGACTACACACAAACAGGGGGCATATTGCAGATCACAGACGAAGCAGCAGAAACAGACTGTCTGGAAAACACGCATCACATAGCCTTAAACAAGTGGACGACGCCTCTTACGAGGTGGTTAGGATTTTACGAAAGATTTTAATTTAAGTGGACTGCAACGCGTAATTTTAGCTCACATGAAAACAGTGTAACAGTTTAGACGCATTGAAACACCTGAGGATGGCCCGTTTGTGGCCGAAACATTTTGTGTTGATGTTGAATGGTGAATATTTTAATGATTGTTGTATTATTGACGGACTAAATATATAATAATATAATATATAATAAGTACATAGCCATTTAATACTAGCAGGATATTTTAGATACACATAGTTATACTCAAAGCGTATACCCTGAATGAATTTTTCCTTCTGAACCCCATATTTCACCACGCAGTAATTTCTGAAGTGACGTGGCATAATGTGAATTTATTTACAGAGTTTTTCGACTATCTGTTGTGGCTGACTCGGACGCACGGGCCGATTGCTCGTGTCTGGGTGGGGCCGGTACTGGCTGTCCTTCTAGCTGATCCCAGATACATCGAGGTGAGTCTCTTAACACGGAAGGACAAATGCACGACACTTGTCTGCTCTGTACCTACGTAAGAAAACAGCTGTTCACGAGTAAACACGTGGAAATTGGGGAATGCTTTCGGTCTTATTGTTGTTACTACTATTATTCCGATTGTTGTCTTATGGATTCTGACATTTTGTAGTCTTATTAACTTATAACGACTTTTCTTAGAAATACGCTTTCTCAGCGTTCAGTGTTGAAATATATTTGATGAGGAAGGAAGTGGTTCACCGTCCGAGTTACTTTACAACTGATGGTCTACCTAAAATCAGCTCGTATTGGTGCCAAGCCTCTTGTGGTTTATGACCAAAGATTTCTGTTGTAACTGTACCCTTACGAACATAGTCCTTATGTAATATCCCCTTCGCTTTTCTCAAGTACTCACATCTCACATATAGCATGTTACTGAACATTCTTCCTTTGCAAAGAAGATAAGTCCTCTATCTAACATGGCCACACAGTGTTGCACCTCAGAAGATCGCAAACTGAACAATCAGCGCCGCGAAATTTGAAAAGTTGTAGAAGTTTTCATTTAATGCTGTTCTAGAATCCAGTGAGCCTTATGCAAATCCTCGTCTTTAGACAGGGCAACGCCCACATCCATTTGTCTGTGTTCCTTTCCGGCCGGTTACGCGATTTTAAATTCGATAGCGACCGATGTCCATAAATAGTTTTATTTCTTACCAGACGTGACTTTTACACACAACAACAGCGGTATATATTGGTAAAATATTTAAAATATTAAGCATTTAATTATTTCAGTAGACCTAAAATTTATTTTAAGAAAAACCCAGTTGAAGAACAAGTCTTTCGCTAATACTCTTTAAGATATAAGTCTCTGTATTTTAAAGAATAGTCAATTTTTATTTGTACGCGGTAGCGTAGTGGTTGAGGAGGTATGCTACAAGCCGAAAGGTCGCGGGTTCAGGTCCCGATGAGGTAATTGGATTTTTTTTTTTCAATTGACATAATCCTTCCAGCCGCACTATGGCCCTGGGGTTCACTCAGCCTCTAACAGAAATGAGTACCAGGAATTAATTAAATAATTTTCCTGGGGAGTAAAGCGCGGCCGGCGCGTAAGACTGACAACCTTACCGCCATCTTTGAGCCGATTGTCTAGATAATGTGGGACCCTCAACGTCTCACAACCCTATGGGTCTTCACTGCCTGGTACAGGGATACCTTTACTTTTACTTTTACTTACAAAGTTTATTTAAAAATTTTCCCTGAAATGGATTGATAGCTAGATAAATAATAGGGTCATTTAATCTCTTAAGTAATATCAAACTTAAGACTAAATTGAGTTGAATCATGTGAATTAAGAAACAGGAATAATTTTAGAATGGAATGCCGTATATAATCGAAAGATTCAGATTTAAACTTCCGTTTATAGATCTGATCATAAATAAACTTACCCTTAAAATGAAAGATCCTGTTCCATTCACATTTGTCCCATTGTCTGACCGTAAAAGAAGAGAAACTCTGAGAACTATTATTTTCGAAACCCTCAAAAAATCATTTTTACTCCAGCCTATAGAAACTCTTGAAATATGCAAGCTCTATTCGGAATAACTGAGTTTTTCAACTGACAGGTTTTTTCATACATAAGGGAATAATTATTGACTAAATTCTAGAAATTATGTTCTTTCGTCTGGGGTTCTCGTTTTGATACCCCGTACCCCCATTATTACACTTGTTTGTGGCGGCGACTTGCCCACAGTTCAGGGACTGAAACATTTGCTTACAGGCAGTGCTGGGCAGCAGCAGGATTATAGACAAATCCATACTTTACAAGTTCGGGGAGCCGTGGCTAGGACAGGGCATGTTGACCAACACAGGTAAGTGGAGGTAAGCACCAAATAATGTAGATGAATGGCAATGGAGATGAAGATCCACTCATTCTTAACTTCGGCACTAAATGGATGTGAGTGGTTGGCAACAGTTTCTATAGCCCTGATAACTACTGCACATCAGGCTGCTTATGAGGTTGGTTGGGTCCCATAGCCAGTGTGAACATACCTGTAGCGAAAAATTCACCCTTTCCCCCGCCGGGGATGGAACTAAGGTGTTCGAACTCGCAAACAAAATAGGAAATAAGGCAGTGGATGTAATTTTATTTAATTCAATTCAATTTTTCTTTATTTGTGTTCTAACTCAACAGTCCAAGAACCAGTTACAAACCGAGCACGAGTGAAAGACAGAAACACACACACAGAGTACAAAACAAGGCAATTTACAACATCTGATTAAGAGGTAAGATGAAGTTGTCCCTGTGCTTAACTAATTAATAATTTCACCATGAAGGCGTGTGGGGGAGTGGATGTAGAGATCCACATTTTATTGACCTCAGCACTAGTTGGTGCTGAGTGGTTAGCTTCACGCCCCTCCCGCTTTACCCCCGGGAAAAGAACCCTTTGTACCCATTAGATAAGAGGCTGGGTGGACCCCAGAGCCGATCTGGATTACGTGGAGAGGAGAAAATTGTTGGCCCTGTCGGGATTCGAACACCGACACCTCGGTCGTCCAGCCCGTAGCCAGTCATTATACAGACTAGACTATCGTAATGATGATGATTATGATGACAAAAATAATGATGCGACTAAGTCTTCTAAACTTGAGGACCAAACATTTCCAAAACAGGACTGAATTCAGAACCAAGGTAAACTTGAATAAAAAGAATGCACGGAGTCGACGCTTCAGCACAGGCAAAGCGAGAGAGTGCCTGCAACAGAATGTCTCAAGTCTTTGTTGGATGCGTTCCAGTTTGTTGGCATCAGTTGAAGTAAATTAATTGCGGGCAACCATCTGACTCTACTGGATTACATTATTGAGGAGTTATAATGGCTCGGTGGACGTTGAAATCGTCAGAAAAAGCACATAATTAGAATGGGCAACCGCGTCACATGACTCATTAATGAAGACATTGAATAGCAGTGGTCATAGGACAGATCTCTGGAGAACACTGCAGAGATATTCAATAGGCAGGAAACAATACCGGAAACACGGACCCGAGATTTCCGGCAACTGCGAAACCAGAAATCCCAAGAGCACTAAGTTCGTGAAGAAGCAGAGACTGTCGCGTTCATTGGTATCGCCTGTCTGTGAGAGCAAAGTAAAGGAAAAAGGATATCGATACAAACTACCGTAGTGGTTATGATGGATTTAGATCCGGAGAAGCCGCACTGATAGGGGCTAATTTTAAATTTTAGATAATGCGAAACATGGTCATGAATAACGAACCCAAAATTTTTGGAAAATTATTAATAAGCGCCATGGGCCTGTAACTGCTAAGAGAGGCACTGTTGCTGCTTGCTTCCATGAGGTAGAAAGTAACTGCTGGGGTACATTTAGTTTAAAGTATATTTAATAACAGGTGCGTGTACAACCCACAGTAATAGAGCCCGTAATGTCATCAACTCCAATATATTTAGAGGGCTCCAGGGGTTTAATAGCTTGAAAGAATGCGAATCAGAACGTGTTAGAAATAAAAAATTCGGAAGATATTGAAAAAATAAGGAAGGAAAAAGGAAAAGAATTCAAATAATACAAATATTGTGTTTCTGGAAAAATGATTGTTTTATACTGGCTGAAAATGCTCTGAAAATTCGGCAGCAACGTCACAGAGTTCGAGTAAATGCTTAACGAGAACCCCAAGCTGGACAGAAACAGAATTTCTTTTCTTAGAGAGCCATATACAGGATGTTTCACGACTTTAGGGCATAACTGCNGGGGGGGTTGGTATGTCCGGCGCGGTTCACAACCGAGCCTGTGTTGCGGCCGGAGGTGGCATTTTCGAAAATCTTTAAGCACCAATAAATTCAAATTTAAGGCAATTTCACGAAGTTAACTTTACATTCATACTTTAAATGTATCATGTATTATGCTGGTTTATTATTTTGTTCCGTTTATTGTCAGTAATCGTTACCTTCTATTCTGAGTTTAAAACGGTCATAACTCCGTAACCGTCCAAAATCGGACACATGTTTATATGAACTTTTTTGATCACAAAGACCTAGGAAATCACCTTCTACTGTTATGCCCTAAAGTCGTGAAACACCCTGTATTTCGAAAACTGCTTGGGCCGCGGCTTTCAATTTTTATCTATAGACTTCAACTATCCAAGTCTTTCAGACTTAATATTGATTTTAGCTAGTTTACGTCAGAGAGAAAATTTTGACGAATACACTCAGATTTTTTAAAGCTTCTGTAAACGTAATTCCTTTCCTAATGTAATAACGCAAGGATCTTGATTATCAGTACGGAAATTGTAACTTATAATTTATGATGCCAAGAGGAATTACCTCTTCCATGGCATCTCGAACAGCAGCACTGAGTCTGGCGACAGAATGATCGAGAGAGGCTGTACCATGGACACAAGATCAGTCATAAGCTCAGAGAATATTATAAAGTAATCTGCGGTATGAATATGCTGAATTTTGAATGCAAGTGACAAAAGGGCAGGTAAATACAGATAATCATGAGGGCGCGATAATTGTTAGGCGTTACAAATACAGTGTCGACTGGAGTGATATATAAATCTCTTAAATTTGGAAAAATCAAATCAACTAGATTGTTGCTGCCGAAAATATCAATGCAAGACATGTGCAGTTGCAAATCAGATCTCCTTTAAGTTTGGAGCAATAATGGGAATTTGGCAGAGACAGACCACATTTTCAGTCAAAACGAGGAGTGACCAGCAAAACGAAAATTGTATGTATCCGGCCTGTTTTTTAAAAAGCGAAAGTGCTTAGCAATAATAGTGATTTTCAGTGCGCGAGTTAAGACCGTCTAAATTCGGGATTTCCACCCATACACATCCATGACAATGATCTAAAGCGTATCTACTTTTATAGAGCGAACTTTGGAGTACAGGGCAATGAGTGTTTTGTTTACAGATAGAACGGAGAACTGCATAGCAGTCACGAAACAAATTGAGATCATAACAAAGGTCGTTTACCCATAACTCAATTACACAAATGATGTAATAGTTCATAGAGCAGACATTTTGATGAAGTTCAAGTTGCTTGATCCTACGGCCTCTGATATTTTAACAATAGTATCAAAAATAAATTCCAGGCTGGGTGTGACGTGGCGGAACGGCTTGTGTTGATGTCATGCGTGTTAACCATTAACTGTGTGCAGGAACGCCCTCCACTTTGCTTAGAATTCATCTGAACGGGAATGAATGAATAAGGGTTGATTAAACAGCCGTTAGGCAAGACTTCGATATTATTAATACGATGTAAATCATCTTTTGCAACAGACATATGAAATGAGACATACGACTTATATCTAATTTTTTAATTTGGTGCTAGTAAGGGAAGAAAGCTGCAATTGATCTTTTAAATATTTCTCAACATTAAACGCTGTTACTTAGGGGAAAGTCGAGGGGTCAAAAAGAGACTTTCGCGGACCCTCTTCTGCACAAGAGAGAGAGACAGAGAGACGAAGGGCTTCTCAATCGGATCATGGGAATCCTAGGTTTCTCCGCAGGGACACAACTGTTGGTCTTCTTTTGCGAGAAACAGCCAAAACTCCCCACAGAATCCACTTGCTCTGCAGAAACTTCAGGCAAGAGACCTCGTAGGACAAACCACGCACGTCAGCATAAGTCTCGGCAGCAGGAATTGATGACACCGGCGATGTTGTATTACTTGCAGCTGATGATCTGGGAGGGTTTCTGGTTAAGTCTCCATGAGCCTTAGAAACCGGCCGAGGAAGCAATCACACCGCAGCAGAATGATCTTTATATATTAATTGTGTATCAACTGATTGTTATAAGTTTGTAAGCTGAGATTTCAAGGAGGCAGTGTCGCTTTTAATGTTGGTGACATCGTCACTAAGTCTGTGTACTAAGTCCAAAAGAGGTTTCATAAGGTCGACTGTATAATAACGGTTCTTGTAACTGCGGTGTTGTGGTCACGACATGAAGGGCACTTTATATCTGAACTACATCCTGGGTCTTGTTCGAGGTCGATGAAGCACCTACTACTCACACTTACTCACTCCTGTTAACACTGCTGAGGTCTGATCACTGTCTTCCTATATTCTTCAGCAACAGACGGTAGGACTAATGGACAGGAGCTATTCACGAGCGCCAGCAAACAAGACATGCTTACAGAATTTAGGGTGTTTAGAGTGGAAGTGAATAGGTGAAGGCCAGTAGTCAGTAAGATAGAGACGGGTTTCCTTCTCAGAGCTTAACGAACCTTGATTCGACAAGGCGGCAGGACACAGTCACTCAGAGTACACGTCACAGCCACAAGGAACTACCTTGTGTATTATTTGGCAGATACGTTGCGACGGAGAGATTGATTCTTGGAAAACAGCTGGGTATGGAACACGGTTTCCATGTATACGCGAACCGAAAGTTGTAAACACTTGGAAACTAAAGCGTTGTTATGGAATGAACACACGGTTCCCGCAGCAACAGATAAGCACGGAATAACGTGAACTGTTGGAAATGGTGATCTCTATTCAGTTATTATGAAATTAAAATTGAGGACACGTGAGAACGCTTAGCAGTTCAGTGTCCCGTGTGGAAGCGGGGTCGAATACCTCCACAGTAATCCTGCGAGTCTTAGGAGGCGACGAAAAGGGATGTCTCAAATCTGAGACAGTAAAATGTGGTCCCAAGGAATTTTGACCCAAAGATGACTGCGCTGGTGAGGGCCAGCAGCAATTGTAAACCACAGACCTGTCCTCCCGTCAAAGAGAGGGCCCCACATCAACAAAACCGCAACTGTCTCACCGTAATAAAAATTTGGTCATACGCCCCAGATGGGTGCTTTATTCCAAGATAGACTGGCCGACTGACCGTCTGTCGTAACATAAGACA